TGGAGGGCCTGAAAGTGGAGAAACTTGATTTTTCTGCTACTGCTTAAGCGCTTGTTTATTTTCCTGATGGGCATTGGTGCTAGCTTTCCCACGAGGTCAGGCTCTCTCCCCACCGTGCAGGAAGGATGGTGGGTGGAGAGTGAGGTTGGACCCTCACAGTCACTGAACTTTCAGTAGGTCCTTGTCCCCAAGGATGAAGGAAGGGCGATAGTTGTTCCCTGTAAGTGAACCGAAATGTTCTGTTCTGCAGATGTATTCACCTGAGCAAGCTCTGTGGGGAGAATCTTCTGCCTCTTAAACAGGCCTGCTCTATGGTGCAGGAATTGCAGTGTCCAGCAAGCTCTGAGAACTTTGGCTGTGTCCTCAGTGTCTGGGTCACAACCCTTCCTCAAACAGACTAATGTAACTGATTCTCTGCTCAGGAGAGGGCCAGAGTGAGACCAGCTGGGGGCTGAGAGCAGTGCGGCAAGGTGTCAGAGCCGCAGGGCTCTGCATGGGGGCTGCCACGGCCCTCCCTGCACTGCCCTGAGCAGACAGGACTCTGAAGTGCTCTCTGCCACTGTCCATTGTGACCCTGGGTTCCTGGCTCTTCTGTTCTGCCCTGCCACACATACCGCACTCCTCATTTACGTTTTTAGCTCTGGCTCTCCAGCAATGTCTATACCTATACCTTTCTTCCCTGGGCCCATATGATGATCTGCCTGGGGGAGGTAAGGTATTTTTGCCAGGTGATGGTGTGTGTGCTCCCAAGAAGAGCCAGCAATTCTGCAGTTCTGTGAGGACTTGCAGAGCTTCTCTTGGAGCCCACAAAGCCCATGCACAGAGATTTTCCCAAGAGAAGAGCCAGAAGTCACATTCAGACCATGGAGCCTTCAAAGGGAACCCAATTATTTTAAGAGAATGGTGAGAATCAGAGTCTCAGGCTGGAAATGGGAGAGGTAGGAAGGATCAGGGATGAGAGTTTGTCACTGCCTGTGACATCATAGATGTGACCTTGTAGTTGTGTCTTGCCCTGAATTGGGAACAGAGAGCTAGTGAATTGGTGTGCAGGTGTCAGGTTGAGACAGCTCAGTTCCATATGTAGGCTTCACGGTTCCCTCTGGTCGTCTCCTCAAAAGGCTCATTCCATGATAGTTCTGAGCAGGGTCATGTATGAACCAGTCTATGTCTTGGGGCATTTGTGGTGCCTTTTTGTCACCCAAGGAAGAGTGTCTGATCTTAGTATAGACTGATAAAGTTTTCTGAACAGGTATATGGGAGCTAGTTCAGCATGGACAGAGGGGTGATCTATCAGAAGACACTACCTGGGGGAAAGCGGGTGTGGGGCACATCTCTACTTAGAGGACCCCCTTTGGACATGTCAGGTGGCTTGTCAGTTGAAAAAGAAGGAAAATACAGGTAAAATGATTGAGAGCCCAGCTTTTAGCAGAGGCTAGGAAGCCAAGGAGAGGGAGACTGTGGGTGAGTGTATGAGGCCCCATCGTCCTTGGCCAAGCCCAGAAACCACAGTGAGTAAGGCAGCCCACATGGGATATGTCTGCTTACTGCTTCCTGTATCAGAGTATAAAGTCTTGACCCTAAAGCCAATCCAACCAGGGATTCCAATGGACAATGCTTGTTGCTAAGCATGGATGCCCTCCAATGGATAATACCTTGATGGTAAGAGGTAAGCTTAAGCTTCGGTAAGCATGCTTGTAACAGATGAGATCTCTCCTTTAGCCTTTTCCACCTTGAGGCTGTAAAAGCTTCTTAGGCGCCATGTCTAATCTCTACTGTACTACCTAGCTCTTACTCTGGTGCCCCAGGCACTGTGGCACATCTGGGAGAGTTGGTGGTAGTAGGTGTGACAGGACTCCTAAGCTGTGTCTGCATACTCGGGGGGCGGGGGGCAGGTCTCTGGCACCACAAGACTAGTCTGATGGTACTAACATGCAGTAGAAGGTGTGTGTCCTGAGGTTCCACAGAAAGTGTTGACCAGACAGGTTGTGGGAGTGAAACACTGAAGTAATTAAAGGTTTTGGAATTGACACGACCCACATTCAAAATCCAGCTCCGTGCGCTGAATCTCTATGCACATCACCTAACCTGTGATAGCAGTGTCCATTGGGCCTCCCAGGAAACCCTTGCAATACTCAGTGTATCTCAAACTTCTGCAAAATCTCCAGAGGTGCCAAAAGAATGGCCAAATCCACAGAGCATGTCTGAGCCACATCCTCCATCTGCCAGACCAGGGCTGCACAAAGTTCACTCTTTGAGGCATGACCCCTACCACAGGGACTTAGGTTACTTGCTAGGGTCCTGTGTTCTCCACAAGTAATGATTGCTCAGTCCTCACTGTCTGCCAGGAAGCCAGCCAAGGATGAGTACCAGGACTATGAGGCTGGAGCTAAAATAGGGAAAGCAGAGAATTGCGTGTGATGAGGTCAGCAGTGAAATGGGCACACTCCAGCCGAGGGTCCCAGGATTCCCCAGGCTGTTCCTGCACTGGCTGGTAGGGTAGTCCCTTCACAGGAGAGGCTGAGAAGAGGTGCCCAGGGGTATGAGAAGTGGGGTCAGGAGGCTGGAGGGATCCAGCTCCTGTTTTGGCTGCAGGCACCCATCTGCCACCTTAGACTGAAGAACCACAACAGATATCTGTGGAGGGGGGGTGATCTGTAGCTTTGGCCTTCTTTGGGTTGTGAGAATATGGATCTTGCCTATAGGAATGGTTAGTAATCTTTGGCAAGGAAGTGTCCACTGAGAAATTATGTCAATTAGTTAAAATGTTTCAGTGAGGAAGTATAGAAACCATATGGAGAGTCCTAGTATTTCATATACAGGAGGGAAAACTGGCTTCTCAATAGACATATGAAAGGCTGAACCAAACCAGGAGGGTGTTCTATACCTGAGAGGAGATCTATAGGCTTGGAGGTATTACCTTTTATACACCTACTTCAAATTCATTCTCCAGTGGCTAGAGCAGAGATCAGGCTGTGTGAGTCAATGGGAGGTAGACAGTAAGGTATCTAACACAGTAAGTGCAGGGGACAGATACTCCACATGGGGTTGGGGGAACACAGCAAAAAGGTTGGATTAGTCAAGACTTGGAAGAGAGGCCCTGCAAATCTGGGTCACATCTTGGAGGTGTTGGAGCTGGGTGGTGCTGCCCAACTGGTGCTGGTACTTCCAAAGGTCTGGTGAGGTGATTCTGGAAGATAGAGTGTCTACCTCATTGACAGCGTTGTATCTGGCTGCTAAGGAACCTGGTATATCAGAGAACCAGGAAATATCAAGTATTTCCTGAAGGAATGAATAAATGAATGTGTTCTCCAATTCTTACCTGTCTCCTCCAGTCTGTCCGGGGCAGCTGACAGGCTGGGCTTGGGCTGAGTTCCTTTCTCTGCCCAGCAGACTGGAGCATGAAGCAGTTTGGAGGGTGGAGGCAGCCCCCACTTCCAACAAGGCAAGCAGTCAGCAGTTGCCCCCAACTCCCTGGCCGTGGCACCCCAGGAGTGGGAGGAGCCTGCTACAGAGGCCTCCCTGGGCACCTCCATTCCTTGTTTCCATTGACTTCCACTGGTTCCCTCATTAAGCAAATCCAGCTCTTTGAGCGGGTATCCAAAGCCCTTCCCTAATTGATCCACTCTGGGCTGTGTCTCTGTTCCCCACCATGATGTCCAGTGAAGTCAGCTGTCCCAGACACGGCACAGTGAAACCCCTCTGTTTGCCTTCACATGGGCTCTGGAAAGATGTTATTTTTTTCCCTCTGTGTACAGCAGAGTTAAACCTGGGTCTCTGGGAACTGACCTGCCTAGCCTGTTGTGAGGGTCATGCTCAGGGACAGTGTGTGCAGGGAAATGAGCCCGGGCAAGGCTCAACTGGGGGAAACACTGACATAGATTCTTAGGACTTGCCTTCCTTACCTTTCTTCCCCAAAATTAAAACTTTTAAAATTTCTTTTATTTTTTGGTTTTGAAGTAGAACATTCTTTTTTGTTCTTGTTTAATTCTTCAAAAAGACTGAAGCAGAGACCATGACACTTGCTTTCACCATAATTAGACAAGGTACTAACAGCTTGTATGCACAGGCCAGGAAACAGGACGACATGCCCATCTTTTACCACGTTTTATCCATGGAAATTTCACAGAAGGTTAAATATCTGTTCAGAATTAATATGATTTAGATTGGATTTTAGTGCTCTTGACACCCCATTCCTTTCTCCTGCACCCCTGAGTTTTCTTTACACCTGTGATGTCCCTCTCAGTGAGTGTGCAACCCTCCCCAACCCAATTCTCCTGCTCCTCTGCATGTTCTCCACTGCCACAGGCTCTACCCTTGGATCCTTTTGGGACCCTGTGGGCCTCTGCATGAGGATAAAGTTTCTTTTTTTTTTTAAAGGTTTTATTTATTTGACAGAGAGAAAGACAGCCAGAAAGGGAACACAAGCAGAGGGAGTAGGAGAGGGAGAAGCAGGCCTCCCGCGGAGCAGAGAGCCCGACATGGGGCTCGATCCCAGGACCCTGG